CGCTCGCGTCTCGCTCGCGTCTCCCTCGCGGGTCGCGTTACTCGCGACAGTCTACAAGCCACGCGCCACGCGTCATGGTTCACGGTGCATCGTGCATCCTACACCCTACTTACTTACACCTCTAGCCGGCAACGAAATCGAGAAATACACGCGCGCGCTTCCATACATCCTCCTCGGCTGCTATCGTTCGATGCTCAACCCCGTTTCCTAGCTATTTTCGCGTCCGATATTCTACCAGATTTCCCTGTTTTTCCGACCTGCCGAATACACGGCGGAATTAATTGGCCCAGATTCCCAAAATAGACCACCGGTCTCATCTCCGCTTTCGCGCAAATCTGCGCTACGCGAATCTCCTCGCGAACAAATCGAACGGAAACTGTTTGTCTCGAGGCATCACGTTCGAGAACGACAACGAAGGAAAATCGGAGATATTCGCGTGCGTATCTACTTATGCCAATTCGATGGGCGCCGTCGGCTAAACGAATCCCTTTGCGAGCCAAAAAGAGCAGCTCGCGCAACCCTGCTATTTCGATCGTTGAAATAACTCGAGATTAATTAGCGTTAATGAATATCTGACTATTGCGTACCGTGAAACATAATTCAAGTCACCAGGAAGAAGAATGCGTTCGTTTGCTCGAAGACGAGTCGCAAGATCGGCGAACGTACGAGCAAACGAGCACCCGTATACACGCGTACATGAAATCATGTCTTGTATTTAGCGTCGAATCGCGAGATTTCTTCGTCACGGTTCTTTTCCCCCTTCTTTCGACCGTCGTAGTAACGATGACTTGCAACCGTTTGGAAGAAACAGGTGACGAGGGAAGGAGCAAGACACGGAGAGAAGGAAATGGTGGCAGTTGAATTTCGTGGCACGAGTTTCTCGTTAAACGAAACAGTCTATAATTCACGATCACACCGCGACGCATTCGCCAAGTCGCAGTCGTCCACGAACCAAGGAAAAAAGAGCTGCGAGCTCCTCGGTAGGAATAGGCATCGTTGCAACGACGAGAAACAAGTTCCTCTCTGTGAACGTGAAGGGTACCGATGCCAAGAGATTTATCGAACCGTATCCCACTAATGCGGATCCTGATTATTTCGATCAATGTCCCAAGATTCCGTTACGCTACGTAACAAATCATATTTCACAACTTTTAACCGAACGAGTTTCCAACATTTCACGAAATTTCTAATATTCTTTGGAAACTCCTTTGGGAAATCGTCCTACCACTGCCGTCATTTTTTTCTCGTTAGTCGCTATTAGCAACGATACGATACGATCGCGTCACCGCGCTGAAACGCGTGTACATACATTTTCTTCCGATCGATCTGTGCTGATAACCGCGAATCGTCGTACACAGCGCACGCAAGTAGTCTCAGTCTGTAAGCAACTACGTTACCGATTTGGTGGATCGTCGAACGATAAGAAAATTCAAGTCGCCTCAAAGTGCCATATATTGCCACGGTACATTAGTATGACGCATCGTCGCCGGACCATCCTTTTGCCAACGGAACGGTCGTTTAAGCGCGGCGGAAGCTGCGTCCAAAATACATACTTTGCCACATCCAGAATTCTCTCGAAAATTTCCTTGTCTCCGCTTGTTTCGCGCTTTTCTCTACTCTCCTTTCACATTTTCCACCCAACTTCTACATCTTGTCTCGCTGTCGCCCATCAGCGTCTTCCGTTTTCCCTTCCAAACTACGCGTCTCTCTCTTGCCCCTTTCCCCTTGCCGATTTCCATTCCCAGTTCCTTTATTCTTCGATATTTGCCGCTTCTACCATTTCCTTGTTTTTTCCAGTTCGACGAAAGCAACTTTGTTCGACGAATTCGCTAGTACACGATACGATCCAAAGCGTTGCGATCCAAAGCGTTACGATCGAAAACAAAGAGCGTCTCTTTACCGAGGGACGTTCGATGTTCGCGAAGGGCTTCTGACGTCGTTGTCGCGTTTCTCGCTAATGGGACCAAGTGAAAGGTTCCTTGTGTTTCTCTTTACCGTCGAAAAAACACAAGCAACGGTTTGGGCTGCCGCCGCGTAATGGAAAAGGACGAATCGAGCGAACTGCGAGCGAATCGGTGCTCTTTGAAGACCGCCAGGGATGTAATTAAGCCGTTTCGCTTTCAGCTTTCGCACGACTTTTCCTTCTCTTTTTCTGATCGGTACATCCTCATCGCTTTCAACGAGAGGATTTCATTTTTGACTCGGTTTTCTCCAATAACGCGTAATTATACCGTTAATAATACCGGTCACGTGCGTCGTCACGTGCCGTTGTTACGTTCGATGTTTGCGTAGACTTACGGTTAATTCGATTAACTCGCAAACCGAAAGCTTCTACCTTTAGCAATCTTGCGAGCATGTTTATAAGATAAGAAAGCGTTAGATAATAATTTGTGCAAAGTGATCAGCGACGAAGTGATTTGAGTGATTAGCGCCGGTTCGTTTGTGTCTTTCGACAGGATTCGAGGGAACGGTGGAACCGCAATCGTCCCAGCTCAGTGGAAGCAGCTTGGATCGCCTCAACATGATCGTCCAGAGCATCAACGGACCGACTCACGGGGCCACCGACGCGCTTCGATATCCTTCGCAGCAGTGACACACAACGGTGTGTTACAGATACAGGTGTTCCAAAGGAATCATCGATTTTTCTCAATTCACTGTTCCTGGAACCACCGTTGAACGCATCATCGTGTGGATATATCAAGTTCCTAAAATGCATCGGCTTAAACGTATGCTCCTCTCTGTAATATCGCTCAACGATCGTTTTATTCGAGATAGTTTCGTTATCAAACGAGTTCTTTCAAGTGAAATATTTACATACGCGCTATCCTTCGACTATTTTCTGCCGATCGTGTAATTGAATCGTAATCGAAATAGCTTATCTGCATCGCTTCGAATCGATCTTATTCGATACAGCGACAGCGCGTACTATTAATTATCTCTCTGTATATAAATATACATGTATACGTATATATACATAAGCACGTGTATGCAGACAATACATATACATATTCATATACATACATAAATACATTGATACATACAAATTTATAAATGCGCACTATAATAAAATATATCGGGATACGTGAAACTAAATCTTGCAAAAAATATGCGCGCTCTTGTTTAAGCTGCCTCCGTATTTTATCGTGTTTTATTTATTATACTTCCCCTTCTGTTTCGTGCACATCATCCATTTAATTTATCGTTGCATTTTTTTATCGATGACCACGCAACCATTGCAATATTGTAGCCAACGATTATAGGAGCGTTCGAAACATTTATCGACCCTTGGCGTTTCGAATGGTAAGCGGGAAACCAAAAAACGGCTATTCCCCTCCACACTCAACCGAAGATACGCACGTGCATCTGCTTTGCAACTACTAAATACATAAGTATATGTATACATATGTAAGTACTTACATAGTAGAAAGACAGACGTTGCTAACGCTCGATCTCGTTCGGACGACGACGAAGTGTAACCGTAAACGTAAACACGGTCTATGTATTATATAGACACGTATTCCTCTTGGCTTCATCTCGCTTTCTTTCTTTCAACGATATGGTTCTTCGCCCAAGGAGACAGCTTGAGTCTTACTCGATTTATGAATGCGCCTTTGAAAACCAACGGTCGGCACGACCAAAAGATCTAGCTCCGGAAACCAGAGACTACTTTTAACCAGATAAATTGGGAGTCTTGGAAAATCTAGACTATCAACGTGTTCCCTCTGTCGCGATATCGGCACGTACTCAAAACATCCTGTAAAACGCATCCCTCGAGACACGCATCTACACATCTGTCCTCTCCTTCTTTGGTATTCCCCCTTGTTTTCCCATGAACGGAAACTTTAAAGATTACCGCCACACATTATCGTGCTGTGCCATACCGTACCAAGACACCATTCTGCTCGGACAAGAATCTTTCAGATTTTTCCTTTCTTCTACCATTTCCTCCTCAAATCCCAAACGCATAAAATCATACGCCATCTGCCGCATGCTCTTTCGTCAAAAGTTTCCATTCCATTTTGATTCGTCCCTGGCAAACGACGACTGTTCCTCGTTACAGAATGTTTCTTTTCCCATAAATTGTCATACATTTTTGAAACGCCTGTAATATAGGAAAAATAATAAAATACAATTCTACAAGGACTACAAACTCATTTTGAATTTTAACCTTTGGTAACAATGAATCTCTGTAATTAAGAGAAAAGAGAGAAAACACTGGGGTACTGGGGTTACCCAACATTAGCCGAAAATATCCATGTCGCGGGAGTAAGAATAGTTGAGGACGACATAAATATTTTTGGAGTTACTGACCCGTCAAAACTCTCCGTACTTTGAGCAAAGCATATATCTTCCGAATGTCTCTTTGAATACTGGTCGCTCCTCCGTCGAAACCGAAGGAATTACAACAAGCGGCGCGGAAACGGTAAAGTGATACAACAATCGCGATAGAAAACATATGCCTCCCTTATGGCGGAACATACTTACATACATCTCTGACGAAATTCGCACTATGCTTAAAATTAACTGCAGTGACATGAGCTTCTTGCAAATTCTAATTCACTGTTAATGAAATAAACGTGCTGTATATTTTACTTGAGGACACAATCTACGTACATCTATCGTGATACGACAGGCAAGTAGTCGATACTCTTGTCGCCATCTGACGATAAGAAAACAAGCATTCATTCTCGAAACGTAGATTTCGAGGCACAGGCTCGGACTCGATGTACCGCAATTTTTTTATCATCCGATTATACGCACAGGTGTGATAACTTCCCTGGATGAGGTGAGTCAGGCTTTCATCAATTGGAAAATGTTTCTCAAATAAAGCGCTTCGATCGATTTGTTAATTTTCATCGTGCGGCGCGACCTTATGTCTCCAATCTGCAATACTACCGTGTCTGCAACTGAACTCTATTCTATCATGTAAATCTACATCTATTTCAATATTTTTTTGTATCACACGAAATATTGTATGTATACTTTAAATGAATTACGAAAAGTTATGGAAATCACTTTATATTCTTTACTTTCAGTGTATACAGTTAATGTTTCCACCAAAGGGTGGCGTTAAATGCAAGAGTCTAGCAAATCGATTGTAGCGCTATGACAGTTTCCAGTTTTTCAGATCTGCGTATACGACCGTGGTTCAGACGCTGGAACTACGTAACCATTGTCGTAATAATATTTTCGTAATAATAACAGGACATTTTGCGGATGAAATACAGAATTCTATATTTTCTCAACATATATTGTACACCAACCACATTATGATACAACTGATTGAAACCTATTATGTTTCTTTTTCCAATGTTTTCCAATTTTAATGCGTTCCAACTGCTGATATTTCCCGACATTTTTGAAACTATTAATTTAATAATAAGATTTTAATAATGCAATAATAATTTCTAAATGAAACCCATATACGTTCAATATGCAAATAGACTAGCTACAATTTAAAGAAAAATGGTGAAAATTTTTTTAATTTTCAAGCATAATATGTTAGCCAAAGAGTTGTAGGATAGAAATGTATTATTTATTACGTAAAGTTCCTTTACATATTTGAAACGAAGAAAGCTAAATCAGGACTTACTTTCATTTGAATAATAGAGTAACATAAAGTAATAAATATGGCATAAAAACGTATGTTAATTAAAGTAATTAAATAAAGTCAATATCGGCGTAGATTTAATCGGTAAAAGAATGGCTGTGAAAGTAGATATCACGTAGTAGATAAGTAGAAACTTGTCGCGGAATTAAATTGGCACGTAATCTAATACGCGTTTAATTTTTTCGATCGCCGACAGACTATAACAACCCCCTGCACCGCGGTTTATCCAGCGAATTTCAGTTAGTGCAGACGAGACGGGTAGTTCGCAATGTTACTATAAGTTTGAAAGTACGAAGTTTATGGATTTGAAACGTGGATACTTGCGCATATAAAAATTCAATATACACGTCATAATATAATTTTATTCAATAAAACTGATTAATAGATAGAAACTATAAAGGTAATAATTTTTAATTCAAAATAGAATATTTTAGGTCGGAAAATTGTAACTATATCTTATACGTATGTATATTTATACATAATAATATGTATTATTTTCTTATTTATATGCTATTCGTATGTTAATTTTCACTAACTATTGTTATTTATATTTGTGTAATATTTATTTACTGTGACTATGTGAATGATTCACCCTATATTTATACGTTATATTATATTACTAATCGTTAATACTATCATTATGATCGATAATACTATATCGGTAACATTGCGATTATAACTTATTATTTGCATAAATGTCATAAAGTGTTAAATGTTTTAAGACAAATTTTCTTTATCGGTATTTTCTATTGTTTGTAATCTTATCTTCATAGAGGAGAATAAAATAAGATTCGAATGTGGAGTAGGGTCATAATGTTAGTGATTAGAATAAAAATAAAATATCGTAAAAGTTGGTTATTGCGTACAAAATCGAAAAATAATAGAGTTATGTATAGTAAGAATATCTCGTTAATAATCTTATTTCGATGTACGAAAGAAAATGTACGTAAGAAAAGGAAGAAAAAATGTGTGTATATTACGAAACAAAAACATCCATTACTCGAATTAAAATAATGTGCATAAGCACGCAGTAATGTTTTAGAACAACAAGATACATACATACACGCATACGATGTTCTTTCTGTGTGGTCGTTTAACATTTCGTACCTGCTCGTACAACTCCCCACCACGTTGGAAATTGCGTGTGACATTGCGGTGCGGGGTCGTGCAAGGATCATTTGGCTGTCGAATTTCGTGGCGATAAGGCGTATAACGTTTCGTCAGGTCTGTAACGTATTCTAACTTATTGGCGTCATTTTGTTATTGTTTAATTAATATAAATTAATTAATTTAACGGTTCATTGGATATTAAGATAACGAAATTAAGTAGTTCTTTGAAATCTTTTGTTTTAATTTTTCTTCAATTGTTTATTTTATTGCTTGCGTTACTGGTAGCTTCCATCGCAATTTTTTGTGATAGAATTTGAGTTTGATTGTTGTTTTATTGTAATGTATTTACTTTCATTTTATACATTTGTTTTGACTTTTGGTTTCTTTTTGTGCAGATTATTGGTTAATCGCAGAGATGACATAGAAGTAGGAATAGAAGTACGTATTAATATATAGACGCCATGATGATTAATGGTCAATCCAATGAATTTTTATGGGTAATGTTTAATTTATTTTTAACGAAGACATATATATGAATGATTATACTGTCTTTTTATTGAAATATTGATAATATTTGATATACAATTCATATTTATTTTAAAATATATTTGATATACAATTCATATTTATTTCACAATATGTGTATTTGGTACGTAATTCATAATGCATAATTTCGTAATTATTTCGAATACCACGCTGAGAATAGAAACGATTAAATAGATCACTGTTTTATTTCGAATATCTGTAACCTTTTTTTAAAATTCTCGATAGTTTAACAATAGCTTCACTATTTCAATAGATATAACATTCGATTCAAATTTTTTGGTATATTACGTGAATTTGCTACAGTTAATGTCGTATGCTTGCAACTTTACAACTTATATTCTTTTCATAGAGGTGGCGCGCAATTAGACGCCTAGTCGCTTCAAACTAAGACTTCGCGCGCGATTTTGCTCAGTACTAGAGTCTCCAATTATTTACATTGAGCTCTGAAGTTTTCATTTTTTGCAAAAAGTATAATTTTTGTAAATGAGTGTATTATATTCATAACATTCAGAAGCATTTTTCAATATTGTGAAATATCTTTTAACGTATATCTTTTATGCATATTCCAGTTTCTTAATAATCATTTCATAAGTGTAGAAAAATGGCAGTATTTTCTAAACAAACGATCGATAAGAAAAAGAAGCAAAATATGTAAAAACGGTATTCTGTTTCATTTCTAGCCCCCTTCTCCCAAACTAAACAGTTTTATTTTCTGGGAATATTTGTGACCGCGTGCAATGCGGTTGGTAGACTCAGTGTTTGCTACGCAGTATTTAGTTTATTTAAATATTTTTAAATCGTTCCAATGAACGTTTTCCAATGTACGTTTTCGGTATTAGAGTCAGTGCATCTTTCAAGAGGATAAAGCCTTTGCAGGAGCTCAAAAATGTAAGTAGATTTATATACCGTACTTCAATTTATTTAATTTTTTGTATTTTGTTTAAATTATAGTTAATTAAAAAACAAAAGTGATTGATTATTTGGAAAGACGTAAATGTTTTTTTATTGAAATGATTTCTTAATGATTTTCTTTCAATTTTAATGACGTTTTATCTTTTATCCTTCGTGTATTGCATCCAACTGTCGACAAAGTTTATTTCAAATGGTTCTTTCGTATTTACAAAAATACAATTAATGACCAATCTTCTGAACAGAATCGATCAACGTAACTGTCGTCTTGGACTGATGTCTAATCGACGGTCGATATTACAGTTTAGAGTTTCCGTACAATGGTAATTCTATTCTCCTAGTTAATAATCGATGGTACTCTAAAAGTTACGAATCGTAAAACGAGATCTTTTAAATGTTTTAACAACGGTGAATAAAGTGTAACTATTACAAAGTATTTTAACAATGTTTATTTGAAAATTTAGCCATGATCAAACATTATTGAATCAAATTTATTACATAATAGTGAACTTAAAATTATCTTGCCTTGTTAAAGATATCCTAACTATTCCACTTTTGATCTTGCAAAGAATTTAATTCGATATTTCATATAATCGAATGAAGAACGTTTTCTCTTGTCTTTCAAATTACTAATCACGAAACAAGCGTAGCATATTATCAAAAATAAGGGCATGATAAGGATCGCTATCGTTCCATAGTAATCTATCAACGATATATCATGGCCGTAGTAACGCAAATGTTTCGATTTGGAAAATTTGATCACGTGCTCCACATTCCATATAGCTCGGTCCATTGGCTTTATCAATTCATCTTTTGCAATCTCCGACATCTCTTTGATATTGTTGTAGTATCTGCAAGCGTAATGTTAGTTTTATACATTTTTAACGACAATCGAAGATTCCGTTTTAGAAGTTAAAAAGTATGTCGGCCGTGAATTTGAAGAAATCGTTCTGTCAGTCACTCACGTTTTATTCTCTATAACTTCGGTCAAAGTCCGGACGACGGACTCTTCGGTGATGGTATCAATGTTCAACGTAAGCCCGATACCAGCATCCAGAATTTTACGCGCGTTGAAAAGTTGATCCCCGAAAAAGGGAATGGCAACTACCGGCACGGAATAGTACACCGCCTCTTGCAACGACTGCAATCCACCTTGCATCACGTAGACCATCAGTTTCGGATGTGCTGTATATAGAAGCAATGTTAGTATCGCGGATTAGGCCGAAGTAAAGTGGCATCTTTGCAGATTATCCTCTCTCGAGCTTTAAGACTATGCTCGAAGATAGATGAAAAACAAATCGATATGTAAAAAGTAAAGGAGTGCTTCAAAACTTCATTGGGATAACTGTATATTTTATCATTTCATTTTGCACATACTCGGTAAATATTTAGCAAGTTATTAAAGCTGTACGAGCTTGCCCTGGTATTTTACGTCATAGAGAATGGTGCTTTAATAATTATGTAGTAAACCAGCGTAAAGCAAAGAAACGGCAGAGCCAGGTATTCGACGTTTCGATGGTGAAATAAAATTTTAAAAATTACAAAATTTTTGATGTATCTGAATGTAAAAAATCTATGTAAAAGTTAACAAATTTACGCATTTGAAACGTTCATACTCGGACAATTTACAATATTTCAACGAAAATTAGAAACTTTAAGGATTCGAATATTTGGACATTCGTACGTAGAAATTTGAAAACGTCGTCT